GCTCCAGCTGCCGTGAGGTCGAGCTGCGGGGGAAACGCCGTCGGGAAGAGGCCGTGGCCGGCGGGGGTGCTCAGGTAGTTCGTTTTCTTCTACTGAAGTTAGCGGGAGGAATTTATTCTGGATAGGGCACGCTATTAACTTGAAAAGGGAGGTAGGAAAACTCCTGTAGGTTAATTTCGCTAGGATTTGGCTTAAGCCTAAAGCAATACAGGAGTGCCAGTCAGAAAAATCTGCGAGCAAGCAGGGAGTCAAGCCCCACAAAAGAAATAATGCCAGCTCAGAAAGACGGTATCACTGAAGTTAATGCTTACACGTGGTTCTTTTTATTTGCCCGCTTGGCTCAACCCGAGTCATGTTTTCAAAGTTTTCTCTCCAACACGAGGACCAGAACTTGTTATCAGTACACGTACATTATTATCAGTGTTGTATTTGATTACAGATGCAGGCATTCATGGAATCATCTTAGGTAAATAGAAAATGTGAGGAGAGACAGAAAAAAAAAAAGTGATGCTGCAGATGGTACTAGTCCAAAACCAAAATTGTCATATCCTTAACAGGTGTTACATTTAGCATGCTGGACAAGACATCTGATATCTGAATGTTCAGGAGCAAAGCATTCGGCCTGTTAAAACCCATTCCACTGATGTCTGGCCAGCCAAATTTGGCTTGTAAATTTATGCATCGAGCTATTGGTTCTCATGGACATCGCTGTCACAGGAGAATTGTGGATTACGGGCAGAGGGACAAGACATACCCAGGTAGTGCTGGAGGACAAACAGTAAGCACTCCTCAGACCAAGGTTGGTATCTGGAGAGCCCCCTTCCCTCTGCAAGGTTCCTTTAAATGTTTTTAGTTTACTGCTGTCAATAGAATTTTTTAAGATTGTACCTGGTACTAGCAGAACCCCAGTTCTTGAACCAAAGCTGCAGTCTGTGAGTGGCTCACGCACACATCGAACATGGCTGAGATTGCATCAGCATCGGCATGTCCACACTAATGAAAAGATTAATTACAGGCGACTAGCCTGTTTCTAATGCATCAGCTGGTTTGTTTAAAGCTAAACCAGCTTATGCTGCACTGCACTGTGGCTTCCTCAAGGATCACCTTTCTGCTTGTGAAATTTAGGAAGTGCTTCTAAAATGAATGCGGGTCTGACTCTGACCTTCATGACTGGCATATTGTCATGGAGGAGGAAGTGGTAATGAAAGCAAATGATGTAATACAGTGCTGCCTTACTGGTATCTGCCAGTCAGTTGGTAATATCTGGTGCCCAGTTTTCCATCCCTTAACAGCATAAGGTTTAGTTGCCATCCTGTCTGAGAAAGTTGCTGCAGGAGCATCAGGTTCTGATCATCAAGAAGCTGGACAACACTGCCACAACATGACATCAAATCTTGTCTTTTATTCTATGCATCATTCATTCTGGAGGACAAATGTAGTTTATCCTTCTAAAGTCGTGCTGTGTGATACTCTTAAGAAATGCATTTCTTAAGAAATGCAGGGGAAATGTGCATAATTTTCACAACCATATGGGCCTGGCAGGGTTCAAAATACTTCAGTTGGCAAGAAATAGATCAGATATATTTAAGAACATGGTATTCCTTTGCAATGTGGTTGCACTATTCATCTCTTTACTTTCTTTGCTGCTGTTTGGAACCAGTTAGTGTTATTAGAGATGCTGCTCGTGGTGAACTGCAGACCTGTCCTAACATGGAGGCCCCTTCTAGCCCATGTACAGCAGGAGCCTGGAACTGAGGCAGAAATGCAGGTCAAGGCTGGGATGAAGCAGTATTACTGGTGTTGAGATTGTAAACATTTAATAGATGCAGCTGTGATAAGCCTGAGTTTGCTCAGGAGAAGGGTAAATATTGTTTGATGGAAACTTCCCATCTGCGTTGATGCCTTTTTGTCACAGGTTTGAATTTTGGTTACTCACTGAAGGCTTGTGTGAGAGGACTGAAGCAACAGGAAATCTCTACCCAGCACTGTGTGCCCAGAATAAATCAGCATACTGCTGTGGAAAATTGTTCTGATTCAGTTAGCACAACGTCAGGTTTCCTGGACCCAAGTCTAGGACACAGTACAGGATAGAGACCTAAAGCGAGTGGAGCACAGCAAACAGAATTATAGGAAATAGACATGAATGTTGTTAAGACACACAGCAAATCTTCAGCTACCATTTTTAGCTGTAAGGGCTGCCTCTAATTAGGTGTGTGGCTATCTGTGGAGCCCCTATCTTACTGCAGGCTACAATACATTTGCATGGGTGTTGCAGAGAGGACTGGACTCAAAACTGTCTGGGCAGGGGAAAAGTTCTAGTATGAAGGACTGCATTGTCAGTGGGACTTACAGTCTCACCTCTAGTGCTTTTCCCCACTGGTTCAGCATATAGGCATGGGTGTGCTAAATTTTGTGGGAGATAAGTTCAGGTACAGCTCTGGATGTTTAAAACACTGAAGGCAAACAGTGTGGCAGCTGCCCAAGCACAGCCCTTCATCGTGCAATTTGTTAGACCTAAACTATTCCTGACAGGTGTTTGCCAGACACATATGAGCCTCAGTGCCTCTCTACGTTACCTGTGGCTTCACCAACCATAAGCGATAGGCAAGAAACTTTGGGTAACTTTCTAGCAGCCTCTGTTTCACACCACTGCTTACAGAAATGAATTTGTGAATAAAGTTGAGAAGCTACCAGATTTGTGTGAAATCAATACTGATTCAGGACTAAAATGAAACTATTTGAGAACACATTGTAGGACTGGATTTAGATCTAAGGGGTACATATTCCTCGGTGTTACAGTCTAAATCAGCACTTTGTGAAAATACTGGGAAGTTGTCTCATGTACCATGCTAGTACCAAGTGACTGTGGATTTATATCATTAAAAGTTCCATCAGTTTCTTGGTTTACAGATGTGAATTTAAATTATCACTACAGCATCACTCCTTTCAGGGTGTTCTCCTAAACAAAGGAGTATTTCTTTTATTCCCCTGTTGCAGATCATGGCAGAAGAAGAGTTGCCAGGCGTTT